TCCTGGCAGATGCACCAGCCTCACTTTCTCTGCTGTGGGGCCTGAACTTGTCTCTTGCTCCCCTGTCCTTGCAATTTTCTCCCAGGCTGAGTGCGCCATGGCCTGGAAGCCACCACTACCCTCTCCCCTCAAATTCCCTGCCCCCCCCCCTCACCACTCCCCTCGTGCACGGCTTCCTCCCTGGGCCCAGTCTGAACAATCACAGCTCCTTCAAGTCTTCACAGTCAGGGCAGGTGGTTTCCAAAGCAGCTAAGACCCCGCAGATGATACGGTCAGCACTCAGACGTCCCAACTCCTGCTGGGGCTGGGACTGGGGGTCTTCTCTAAACTGTCAGCTGTGTTGTGGGAGAGGACGCTATGTTGTCGATTATCTTCTAAGCTTCTCTGAAGACCAGAGAGAGCGCACCATCCACTGTACTCTGAAGATAAACTCCCCCCGGGAGCAAGAGCCCACATGTCTGCCCAGCCTCCCCTAGAAAGGGAAACAGCAGAGGAACCCCCTCTAGGCCAGCGGGGGCTGCAAAGGTGGGCCCAGAATTGCTCCAACATGAGATTTTATGAAAAACGCCCATTCCAGAGGCAGCCAAACTGAAAAAAAATACAGGGAGGGACATAAAAAGAAACCCAGCAAATTAAAAATCAGGACAAAACCAATGCTCAGAGATGATTCTTCATTGTTTCCATCCTTTTCATGGGCAGATAGGAGGATGGCCTTGGGCCAGTGCAGCTCAGCTGGTGTCGCCCAACGGACCTGAGCAAAGATCATCACAAGAATTAATAGATTTATGAGTGGAAGGAAAATTCCAGGCCATTTTAGGTAAATTCACAGAGCAGAAGGAAGCCATTCTCCTGCCCAGCCACACATGTTAATGGAGTCACCTGCCTTGGAATCCCATTTAGTGTTGACTAATTCTGTCAATACATTCTTCCTGAAAGTTCACCTAAACTCTACGCTATGATTCAAGCCACACCCTCTTACTCTGCGCTCCTAAGAAGAGGGGGCACCATTTTCTCTGTCAGCTACTAGGACGCAGGGCACTAAACCCACCATCATCACTTCTCTCTTTTCCAACCAGCCAGCGAGGACTTCCTGGCCACCATGCATCAGACTCTTCAACCTTGTCTCACGGCCCTGTGTCAACTCGAGGCCGCCATCAGCCTGTCCACAGACAGACCCCCTCACATGCCAGTGCCCTCTCCTGGCCCTCCTCCCTCTGTCACATTTAATCAGACCATCCTGGGAGGGAAGGTTCTCTCTAAAATAACAAACCTCACCCCAAGACATAAAACATGGGCATAACGATAATCTCCAGGGCAGCCTGTTGTTTCCCGTCACCCCTGACACGCTATTTTCTTATTGAATGACCAGCCTCATTTTGACTTTCCCTTTCTCATTAGTTAACTCCTCAGTGAACTGATTTCTTGTCAATCGTGGATATCACTTTTTTTTTTTTTTTTTTTTTTTTTTTTTTTTAAGAAGGCTACATGCTCAGCACAGCGCCCAACCTGGGGCTCGAACTCACAACCCTGAGATCAACACCTGAGCTGAGATCAAGAGTTAGATGCTCAACCGACTGAGCCACCTAGGCACTCCATCCATGGATATCACTTCTGGATCTTTTCTCTACCACTTTGTTTACTTGGGGAGAATGTCTCACACTGTAGGAGCCTCTTGGGAAGACTCACCTTTACCTTACACTTTATTTCACCGTAAGGGAAAAGACCCAAGTTTGTAGTTCAATGGGAGCTTCTCTTGTTTTGGCGCCAACATTTTCCTAGAAACGTCTGCATTATCTTTAGGAAAGAAACCAAACCTAGAATTCCCCCAGAAACAATGGCCTCTGTACTCATGACAGGTGATAACCCAGGGAGGGCGGGTAAGGGACTTGCCATCATGATCAGGTCTCCATCTTGCTTCCTGTCACCTGCCCCAACACATCCCTGACTTCTCAGAACCTCCAATCCCCCATCACTCCCCAGCAGGCCCCTTCCCAACCCCACACCTTTGCAGTGCCTAGAACACATCTGAAAAAAAATTTTTTTTTGCCCCAGGATCAAGTTCTTTGGCCTTGGACAAGCCAGTATCTTTTGCTGAATGGTTAGACTGACTTATAGCACAAAACTATAAGACAGGCCCTCCCGCCCCACCTTCCCACTGGGGACTCCTATCTTTCATTAGCCTAGAAAATTTTTCTGCTTATCCACCTCTACCCAGCAGCCTTCCCATGGACAGGAAGGTCAGTGACCACCTTTTCTTGTCTGCCATGGGGGGTGAGCAGCCCTGATGGTCATCTCTGGCCTCCGACATCCTCGGTCCAGAGCTCACTGGAAAGGTCTACCAGCGATGGCCATCGGCCGGTGTCGGCAGAACCAGTGAACAATCACAGTGATGAGCTATTTTTTTTTTTAATTTTTCACCAAGATCTCTAGAAGGCAAGTAGTTTATCATTTCCCCTCCCCGCAATGACACAGCGCGACAGACTGTAGGATGCTGGGATGCGGCTCTTTCCCGTGCCCCGGAGCTCCCGCAGGAGGCCCCAGGGAGCCCAAAGCAGGACCCACGCAGTGTGTCCTCTGCAGATCGTAGGTGCTCAGTCCACACTCAGTAGCACCAGCACCGCTGACATCCTCATTGTCCAGAAGATTCCACCTTGGATCCCTAGATCCAGAGAGGAGTCCAGATCGGGATTTCAGACCGGGGTTATCTTCCAGAGACAAAGAGCAGGTGCCATGGCCGAGGCAAAGGCTTCTGACGCTGCCAAAGTCTAATGACTGAAGACCAGAGGGGAGGCAGGAAGAATAGCGAGGTCAAGGAGCCCCGGGATTGTGGGAGAGACGACTTCTTAAAAACAAAAGCGGTGTGCGGAGCACAGTGTTCACAACAAAAGAGCACTGCTTGGGATCCCAGACCCGAGCAGGCGGAAGCAAAGGCTGGGCTAACAAAGCCGGAACTTGGTTCACAGTAGACAGTCCTAATCTAAAATTCCAGAATTTAAGACCAATATCTTTTAAGAACAAGAATTCATAACCCCATCAGACCAGCTGACAGCAAAAGGAAAAAAGGAATGTTCTCCATTAAACAAAACCACACAAAAGTCAACGCAATCTTTCTCCACTCCCAATCTCCCAACCACCTCCCACCCTCTTAAAAAAAAATATATCGTGAAAGTCAGGCACACTGGCACGCACGCAGATACGCAAACAAAATACAAAATAACCCAGGAAACCTTAGAGATCACCTAAGTATTTTTCACTAGCTCCCCAGATGTTCCTTCTGTTTTTCTAGGGAAAAAAAAAAAGTGTCAGGCTCTGACAGGTATGCCTAAGCGTAAAGACTGAGGCCGACTGAGATCCCCTTCCTCAGCCTCCTTGCTTAGTGGACCAGTATCGACACTAAAGTGGACTAGTATCGACAATAAGTCAAGAACGAGGGCTAAGGCTGGTGTTCCGTGGAAGGTGAGCTGCCTTGTCATCCCACAGCCCCGCTGACATCCTCACTGTCCAGAAGATTCTCCCTCCTCCCTCACCGGGGAGCGCTAAGCCGAGTTCACACGGCAACCCTGCCTGTGGACTCTGCTCCAAAGCCTGAAGCTCAGGGAGGAGTGTGTGGGGAAGCTATTTCTAGAGGCAAAGTCTTACCGCTTGCAGGAGGGCGAACACAAACCTGAGGCAAACTATCGTGAGATATCTGAGGAAAGGACATGTAGCCCAACACTGCACTTTCCAGAAAATCACTCTATGAGGAAAGCGGGAAGGACATCGATCTGCCCAGGAGGCCGATTCCGAGAGTTTCCCTGGTTGTTGGCCTAAATCAGTGGAGCAGTCCACTGTTCCTGACCAACGTCTGTCATCTGAAATGCAAAAGCATTTGTTTCCAGAAGGTGAGACTCTCCCACTCCACAGGCCTCCCTGAAGAGCCAGGCTGGGAAATGCGGGAGAACCAGATCGCAGACTCGCTGCTCCCTGGGGCGCAATGAAAGCTTGAAAAATCTGTTTCTCTGCCTTATCTTACAGGCCTCTCCCCACGTTTTGCAGAATAAATAATTCAAAATAGAATGAAAAACTCAGGCAAGGACAGTTGCTGGCCTAAAAATGTGCTCTGCCTCTTAACAGTGACTCATAAAAGTCACACTCACAATTCCTTCCCAGGCTCAGGCGTGGAGAGGCGAGCGTGACGTGCCACGGCAGCACAGGGTGCCCTGGGACAGAAGACACCAGCGAGACCCCAGTCTGAACCCTTATATATTAAATTTATCTTCATAAATAGAGCATCCTAACTCAAGTGACCACAATAGAAGGCCAAAGTCTGAGTTCTTGTTTTCCTCAGAGATCTACACAAACCTTCAAATGTCTACTAAACTCTACCCACATGGCAAACTTGACGCCTCTCTAGGAGAGCTTCAGTCGCCATGATAGTCAAAGGCCAAGTCTCAGAGAGACCGAAATACCCATCCCTATTGGATAACGAGGACTGAGATGAACAGCTCACGTTGGCTCATGAGAGAATTCCTCTAAACCAACGCCCAATTAATTTGCTTTTAAACGATTTGATCCCCCTCCTTTGCAAACATGTTACATATACAAGGTTTCAAGGTCACACCTATGATATGAAATGGGCCCATGAGACCAATGGATGTGGTCTAGTTGGCTCAGCTGCCTTGCCTGCCCATTTGTTGACTTGATTACCTTTCTCAGGGATGAGTCTCTGGGCCATATTGTTCATCCTTAATGTAGGAAGCAGTATCATACCGATAAAGACCGAAGGGCTAGGTATCTGGGTTGAGGTTTATCTCGATGGTTGCCTTAAAGCCTATCTTCTAGCCATCTTAGGAAATTTGGGTTAAGTTTCCCTCTTATCCTCCCCTGTCAAGAATATATTCATTTTGCTCAATCACAGTAGACCACTTTGGTTAGAGGACTGTGACCACTAAAAGACACTGGAGCAAACAGATGAACAGCCCATTGGAAAAACTGAGGGTGGGGAATCCCCCATGGAGACTTCATAGCTCATCCCTCGAAGGCACCGTGTCCAGGGAGGTTGGCGACGGCAGGGCCTCTGTGTTCTTGGCGTTGCGGTGGATGTGACCTTGCTTCCGGGACTTCCAGGAATGGGTCCTGTCCCAGTCGGTGGCTACTGTCTCATTGTCCCAGATGGTCGAGGTCTCCGTGTCACTCAGATACCCTGGCTGGCCCGTGTAGTGCGTGGGGTAGATGAGCAAGGGTTCCGCGGAGAAGGCCTTCAGGTCCCTGGGTTCGTAATACTCCTTGTACTCAGCTCTGCAAACAAGAGGAGTATGCGTGCGTGAGTGAGGGGCTATGACATTTAGCAAATGGTGCTGGGGCGGGAAGAGCAGAGAGGCTGTGCTGGTCATCTCTTACATTGTCATGGACATCTCTGATGATTTTTCAAGTTGTGCCCTTTGGGGAAACGTTTAGTCTACAAACACAATAGAAGTTTCTTTAAAAGTTTTCAAATGATCTAAACAAACACGCAAAAAGAAAGGTTATTTCTGTTGTATTTGGTTGGATTCCTCTAAAAGATGAATTTCAGGTCTCACTCTAAAAGCTAAGAATTAAGCTCTGTCGGACCATCCTGAGAGATGAAGGTGATCACTTTGCAGAAAATGCCCTATTCTTGGATTAATAAATTAGTTGAGATCTGAACAGCAGTGGTGGGATAAGTCACACAGTTAGGCTTGGAGGCACGCCAACTTGGCTTTGCATCCCCGCATCCTGTGGGTGTGAAGGGGAGGATGACTCACTCCCCCTCCCCCATGCGGATTATGCGAGGTGACATCTGCTTGGCTCCTAGCTCAGTTAGTACAGTGTAGGTGTTAGCTTCCTGTCTGTCACAGGGATGATGGGTGACCTCCATATTCCTGATAGGACATGGATATAAAGTCAGAGGTATCAAAGCAGGTGAGGACTTTACCTCATCTTTACCGAGGACAGGGACAAAATAAGCCAGATGCAGGACATAAATTCTTAACTACTAAAATGAAGCCCAGTTAGTAAAGAGATCACCCGGCAACTGAGAGAAGGAGCCAAGGTTAGAACCTGGGTTCCTGCTCCACTAATGAATTTAGGACTCATTGACTGAGAAGCTATTATGGGTAAAGTTGGGATTAGGTTTTCAGGACACGGGGATGTGAGACTGTTCCTGCCTCAGTGGGCTCACAGGTTAGTGGGGAGACTGACAGGTAAACCACACATGTCCATATCCTTCAAACAACGCTAGGTCTGAATAAGCTCCTGTGTTAGGGCAACCTTGAGCATCACCCTGACCGCCTTCTTCCATGGACACCCTGCTCAGGGGCCACCTCCCGCCTCCCCGAGACTCGGACACACCGCTGTGATTACAGGTCTCACCGTACATCACGAGGACTGCTCATGAGTCTCAATTCCCAGCCAGACTGTGAGCTCTGCAGGGAGTGGGACTCCTGTCTGGCCAACAAGTACACACAATGGACTGAAAAATGAACTAAATGCTTGAAGGTGCTCAGGAAGATGACCTTCACCTTCACCTTCGGGTGTATGAGTTTATGGAAATGAGAAGATCAAAAACAAGGGGAGGACTGAGCACAATATGTCCGGGTAAACTACACACTGGGTTTATTCCAGAGGATCCCCCCCAACCCCACCGCCAAGTCTCGGCTTCCCCATCTGTACAAGGGGACAGTCACTCTGGTCAGCCTTTCTGAGTCATGATTAGGGGAAAATCATTTCTAAAAGCAGCGCAGTTTTAGAAAACACCACGCACTATGGAGAACCCGAGAAGCACGACGTATGAGTGGGGTGTGCCCACGATGGGCAGGCGGTGCGGGGAGACTCACACAGGATGCTTGTTGTACATGACTGGCAGGAACTCGTCCACTGGCAGCATCTTCCCGAAGGGATCAGCTCCAACCAGCTTCTGTGCTCCTTCCAGGGAGATGACGTAGCCCAGCGTCCAGTAGGAGTAGTCGGCTTCGACCAGATTCCCCACGTTGGGCACCGCTTTCTCCGGCTCCTTCACCTGCATCCTCTTCCTGCCGATGTAACTAGAAGAGAGCAAAATCCCAATTTGAATATCAGACCTCTGGAAGAACAGAGCACAGGTTTTGCAGATACTTTTGAAAGCTGGGACCCATTGCGTCTTACATCAAAAGTATCACCACAACCTGCATCCAATCACCAATGATGACTGGCACCTTCCATCAAGGCGGCCATTTTCCTGGCCCCGTTTGCCAACATCCCAACTGCTCCTGCTCTACGCTGTGCTCCAGCCCGGAAGTGCAACTCTAGAGAGACTAAAAGATCCCTCTGATCATTTCCCAAAGACGGTATGGGACTTCCAGCTGCGTTTACAGTGTTGGAAGTAGACAAAAAAGGGGCAGAGGTGAGATCCTGAGTTTTCAAGTCCCTAGAGTTTCAGCCTTTGATGGTCTCCAGAAAGCTCTCCAGATGCTGGCGGTAAACACAGGACAGAAAAAGCTATGGGGAAGACACAGTCTACAGTCTACAGTCAAAGACCTTGCAACCTAAGTGGCCCCAAGGGAGTCCTTCCTGGGGAGAATGAGTGACTAAGCCTGCCTGGCTTTCTCTTCCTCATGCACATCTAGCTCTGCCCTCACTTTGCTCTGAGAAAAGCACCCAGGCAGGGCCGGTCCTTCTCCAACAGCTTTTGCCACAGAAGATATACACGGCCAGTCCAGCTTTCCCACGGTCTACTGACGGACCTGTGATCCATCACCTTTCTCTGGAACCTGCTTGTTTTCCACCTGCCTGGAGCAAGCTGAGGAGGGGAGGGCTTCCTGCCCGGGGCTGAAGTTGCTTTCCTCTATTTTGCCTTAAGACACTCTCTTCCAGCATTCAATGGATTGCTCTTGTCAAGACTTCTCAGGATTCGTAGCATGTGTCGTGGCTCACCTTCTCAGGACACCAAACACAGACCTTCTCAGCCACTGTCCCTTTCAGACCAAACCATCCAGAATTTCTCTCATGGACCATCAGGGAGAAGAGAAACTCCCACTGAGCGCTTGACAGGGAGCTAGAGGGCCAGGGCCCGAGTTTGTACTCAATGGGTTCGTTGAACATAGTTTAAGTTAAAATTTTAAAATAAAACTGAAGACGTGTAAAATATTTTTCCATTACACAAAACTGTTTTGGTAGGATTGCAGTTTATTGCAGCAGCTGAAAACTTAGCATCTAGGCTGAGATGTGTCATAAGCATAAAATACATACTGGACATTAAATACAACTGGGCGGCGCGGCCAGTTAAGCCTCTGACTCTTGGTTTTGGCTCAGGTCATGATCTCAGGGTCCTGAGATCAAGCCCCATGTAGGGCTCCATGTGGGGTGTGGAGCCTACTTGAGATTCTCTCTTGCCCTCTCCCTCTGCCTCTCTCCCTCTCTCCCTCTCATTCCCTCTAAACAAACAAAAAATGAAAAAGCTTTAAAACAGACACAAAAGGGGCTCCTGGGTGGCTCAGTGGGTTGGGCCTCTGCCTTCAGCTCAGGTCGTGATCTCGGGGTCCTGGGATCGAGTCCCGCGTCGGGCTCTCTGCTCAGCGGGGAGCCTGCTTCCCTTCCTCTCTCTCTGCCTGCCTCTCTGCCTACTTGTGATCTCTCTCTCTATCCAATAAATAAATAAAATCTTAAAACAAAACAAAACAAAAAAAAACCAGACACAAAAACAAAAAGCAATGTAGACTATCTCATTAATAGTTTTAAAATATTGATTACATGTTAAAGTAATAATATTTAGCAATGTTGGGGTAAATAAAATGTATTATTAAATTCACCTAATGTATTTTTTACCATTTGAATGGAATCACTAGATATTTTCAAATAACGTATGTAGCTCCTCTCATGTTACTGTTAGGCAGCACTGCCCTAGATGATTCCAATGGTTTGTTCGACTCTTCCCATTTACTATTTCTTTTTGGGGGGAGAAATGTAACATAGCAGGCATGGACAGCTTATCAGCTTTCATGTTTTGAGCTTCAGGAACATTTTTTGTTGTTGTTCATTTTAGAACAGGATAGGTGAGGGGTGCCTGGGTAGCTTAGTCAGTTAGGTGTCTGACTCTTGATTTCAGCTCAGGTCACGATCTCAGCATTGTGTGATCAAGCCCTGTGTTGGGCTTTGCACTCAGTGCAGAGTCTACCTAAGATCTTTTCTCTTCCTCTTGCTTACCCCTCCCCTCCCCGACCCCCCCCCCCCCCAGCAATGGTTTGCATCCTCTCTCTGTATCTCTCTTGGAAGGAAGGAAGAGGGGGAGGGAGGAAGGGAGGAAGAAAGAAAGGAAGGAAGGAAGAAAGAAAGAAGAAAAATTTGAAACCACCGTCATTCTTTAATAGTATATAAACAATATTAATGGCATATTTTGACTTGATCAGTCTGTGAAATTTAGAAAAGATTTTTGTTATGTGTCCCTATCATTCCCTGTATCCATGTCCTTATCCAATCATTCTGCTTTCTTGGATCTGTTGTTTGTTTGTTTTTAAGATTATTTATTTATTTGTCAGAGAGAGAGAGAGAGCACAAGCAGGGGAGAAGCAGGCAGAGGGAGAAGCAGGCTCCCCACTGAGCAAGAAGCCCAACATTGGACTCGATCCCAGGACCCTGAGATCATGACCTGAGCTGAAGGCAGATGCTTAATTGACTGAGCCTTCCAAGTGTCCCAAATTTGTTGGTTCTTTGTCCCAAGAAATGTACCAGCTAAACCACAGGTGGACAAGGACATGTGTCAGTCATAGGGCTTAGGCTCCCCAAGTCGAGCCCTCTGATTCCAAGTCTGAAGTAAAAGTTGCTTTTTCAGGTCCTGTGAGCATAAAATGACTTCTGGGCTCCGTGCCCGTGAGGAGCAGCCGCAGGCGGCAGAGCTAGAAACTCAGACCGAGGTGCGGGGCCTTCTGGAGGATTACAGGAACAGACAAGGATCCTAAGGGACAGCGCAGAATCTAATCCCACGGCTGACATATGAGTCGGAGCCAGTGTCTTGATATTACACAGTACTGATTTCTGGGTCTATTCCCCATGGGTTAGTTGAGTCGCTACTAGGTTTCTTCTGGGCTCAAAATGGTACGTTTTCTGAGAGAACAAGTATTTCACTTGGGCCCATAGCTCCGTTTCCCTCCGAGGATGGGAGGAGTCGGGACAGCTTCTCTGCTGCGGCCACTCCAAAGGAACAGGCTCTGATTTGATGAAATTGCCTTTGACACACAGCTGGGAAGTGTACATAATGCTTGGGAACTTTCTGCCTCACTGGAGAGAAGTACAAAATGTCATTTGGTTTAAAAAGAAAGAGAGAGAGAGGGAGGGAGAGACAGAAAGAGGAGAGGAAGAGGGGGGAGACAGGGAGATGGAGAGAGAGAGAAAAAGAGGGCGGAAGGGAGAGAGGGAGGGTGAGGGAAAGAGAGAGAGACTTACTTCCCAGAGACAGCTATCAGAGCATCAATAAATGTCAATTCAGAACCAGCATTACCTTGGTAAGCCTGATTTTCCTATGATGAGCTCTGACCCTCCACTGAACCCAGCTCAGTGTTCTTACTGTTTGCACACTTCCCTTCCCAAGAGAGGCACTCTCGTGCAGACCTTCAGCCCCCAGACTGTCAGAGGCTATCAGAGGCTACAGAGGAAACCTGCTCTTAAGTGTGACACAGGACTCTTGGCCTTGAATGAATGCCTCCCCCTCTCTCTTCCCACCTCTCCGGGCACTGCTACTTCACTGGGGGGGCTTCTGCTGCGCTTCCACATGAGCGCTCAGTCTGAAGACCCCTGACCAGCAGGCAGACTCTGGGTCTCCCAAAGAATCTCCCACAATTTCTTTCTCAGCCCACAGAGTACACAGATCCAGAAACCGGGGGCTATCGTCTACTCACTTCCTGTTTGTGGGAACATCTGTGGAGAGAAAGTCAGGAAATGGAAGCAGGAGCTGTGTCTCCTATCAGCTGGGGAGGCGGGGCTTGTTGCCCCTTGAATAGGACTGAATCCTCTCAGTGCTCTGGGATAAGCTTGTCTTGTCACTCACATCAGTTCCCAATCCAGCTGAGCCCGGTCAATGTCATCCATCAGCTTCATCAGCTTCTTCTTGAACTGATGCTCGAAGCGCACGTCATCTTCAATAACCAGGGTCTTCTCCAGCTCTCGGTCGATCACCTGTAGAGGTCATCAGTGGGAAAAGACCTCATGAGAAGTCCAGTGCCTATTTTTTATTAAGGTAAGTATATATTAAAATGTCGAGAAGACAGAAGCAGAGTAGGTAATAGCTCATTACTGGAGTCTAAGCAAATGCCATCAGGGGTAGATTGGATAAATAAACTGGGGTCTGCTTTCCCCAATGAGGATGTACGATCTATAATTAAATGCAACGTTATAAGATGAACCTCCCAACTGTGGTCCTGGGAGGATATACCTCAACACCCTGTAGTTCCATTCGTATAAACGAAAGTACAAAAGCAGACAAAATTATTTTGGGCTGTTAGAAGTCAAGACGGTGATTACCCTTGGGGACTGTTTCCCTAGAAGGAAATATGGAAGATGTGCTTCTGGGGTGCTGGTAACCTGTTTCTTGATCAGGGTGCTGGTTGACATGGCTGTATTGTTATCCCATTTGTGAAATTTCATTGGCCTATGTTTTACGATCTATGTAATTCTGTATTTATCTATTACATTTCACTTAAAGTTTAAATTAAAAAAAAAAAAGATTGGCATAGACTGGGTCATTCAAAGAAGGAAGGCACTCAAGGGGCCCTTCTTTAGGGACTTTCTCTTTTCTTATGGGAACTGACCCTTAATCAGGAGCCCCACACTCACATACCTCCCTCCAAGCCATGAGTTCATGTCCTGGCTTTGCCACTTCTTATATAGCAAGATATTTAATTATTTTCTCTTGGATAAAATGGGCCCATGTGTCCTGATTGACTTCATATGATTTCTGTGTGCCTTCTTGTAAGAAATCATTTAATAAATGATGACATGCTAGATACACACAATACAAGGCATTCCTACTACGGACAAGGATACACCAAAAGGAGTGTGGCCTCCTGAACATGGGTGTCTTCCTCTGTCATCATCCCAAGTGGCAACAAGGCCCCTTCTCCTTGTTTGTCACTGGCCTTGTGTCAGAGGGAGACATGAGGCAACAGAAACTTCCAAGCGTACTTCCAGAACAGAATGGGTCCACTTTATATCTGGCCCTAATTCACCTACAAAGTCCCACTTTCCTTCTTCCTCATTACAAAACTGCCTATCTAAATCAAGCACTATTTACCTCTTTCCAGACAGAGTAGTGGCTGAGAAAGCAGCCGATTTCACCCCTGGTGAGAGGCCTAGAGGAGTAGGGATCTCGATATCCGGGCAGCATTTCAATATTCAGGGCCTTCAGCTGACTTGTGTTGAGTGCTCTGCATGACAGAGAACACGTCTGAAAATTAACATTTGAGATGTCCCCACTACAGAAGCCAGAAAGAGAGAGTTCTGGATGTTCCTCAGAGCCCTTCGGCACATTGAGGAAGACTTCTCAGGTTTCCCATCATTTCTTAGGGAAGGATACAATGATGTCTTATACTTGGTATATCCCTCATAATTGCCAACGTAGTTCTAAGTATCACCAGTTTTTTTAACAGTTTGAAAAGGTATTTTCCTAAGGAAGGACAAGTGGCTAATAGCATTAAATACTGGAGGGGATGAGGACAGGAAGAACTGTGAACATAACATGTGCGTGTCCTTTCTTTGGACCTAATTTTTTTTTTTTTAAACTTAAGAACAAAAATGGAAGAGACAATCTTGTGAGCAGAAAGAGAGAAATGACTCACTACATATAAAGTATTCTCAACAAGATTAATAGCTGATTCTCAGAAACCATGGAGGCCAGAAGGCAGTAAGCCAACATATTCAAAATGCTACCTGAAAAAGACTGTCAACGAAAAATTCTATATCTAGTCAGACTATCCTTCAAAAATAAAGGAGAAATTAAATTATTTACACATAAATAAAAGCTGAGGGTTTGTCGCTAGCAGATCTGCTCTACAAGAAATGCCAAATGGAGTTCTAAGGCTGGTATGAAAGGAAATTAGAGAGCGACCTAAATCCATATAAAGAAATAAAGAGCACGGGGACATGTAACCACATAGGTAAATATAAATGACAGTTTAATGTTTTTCACTGATAACTCTTTTTTTCTCTTTAAATTTTCCAATTTAAATTATAGCTGCATAAAGCAAAAATGGTAAGGCTCTGTTATAAGGCTTTTAATATAGAAAGAAGTCATTTGTTTGACAACAATAGAACAAAGGACGGTGAAAAGAATGAAGCAGTATGGAAGCTAAGCTTCTGTAGACCACTGAAATTCAGTTGTTTTTTTAATCAAGATATAACTGACTTATAACATTATATTAGTGTCAGGTATACACCATGATGACTTGATATTTGTGCTTATTATGAAATGATCACCACACTAAGTCTAGTTAACGTCCATCCATTCACCTAGTTACAAAATTTTTTCTTATGATGACAATTTTTAAGATCTACTCTCTTAGCAACATTCATACATATGCAATGCATATTGTTAGCCATAGTCACCATGTGGTACATGACAGCCCCAAGACTTATCTATTTCGCAACTGGAAGTTTGTATGTTTTCACCCCTTTCACCCATGTTACCCACCTTCCAACCCTGTCTCTTGTAATCACCTCTGTCCTCTGTATCTGTGAATATGGTCTTTTTTTTTTCTCTTTAGATTCCACATATAAATGAGACCATTTGGTATCTGTCTTTTTCTGTCCGATTTATTTCACTTAGCATAATGTCCTCAAAAGCCATCTATGTTCTTACAAATGGCAGGACTTCCTTTGTTAATGGACGAATAATATTTCCTTGTATATATTTACATACTCCACACCTTTTTCATCCATTCATCCACTGATAGAACTCTTAGGTTCCTTTTGTAAATAATGTTGCAATGAACATGGGGATACCTATATGGTTTTTTTTTTTATTTTTTTAGGTTGATTTTTCATTTTCTTTGGATAAATACCCAAAAGTGGAGCTGCTGGGTCATATGGTATTTCTATTTTTAATTTTTTGAGGAACCTCCATACTGTTTCCCATAGTGGCTGCACCAGTTTGCATTCCTACCAACAATACATTAGTGTTCCCTTCTTGTTACATCTTTGTCAACACTTGCTATTTCTCATCTTTTTGATAATGGCCATTCTAACAAGTATGAGGTGATATCTCATTGTGGTTCTGATTTGCATTCCTCTGATAATTAGTGATGTTGAGTACCTTTTAATGTACCTGTTGACCACCAGCATGTCTTCTTTAGAAAAATGTCTACTTAGAACCTTTGCCCATTTTAAAATAAAGTTATTTGGGTTTTTTGTTTATACTATTGAATTATATGAGTTTTTATATATTGTGGAAATTAATGCCTTATCAGGTATATGATTTGCAAATATTTTCTCTCATTAGGTAGGTTGCCTTTTCATTTTGTAGATAATTACTATATTTACTATATAGTAATTACTTACTGTATAGTAATTACTAATTTACTATATAGTCCCATTTGTTTACTTTTGCTTTTGGGGTCAAATCCAAAAAAAAAAAAAAAATTGGCACAACTAATGTGAGGACCTTACCCCCTATGTTTTCTTCTAGTACGTTTGTATCAATATAAACTAGATTGCTATACATTGAAATGTTAATTGTAATCTCCATGGCAGTCACTGAGAAAATAACTAAAAAATATATAGTAAAAGAAACAAGAGAATTAAAATGGTAGAGTAGAAGTTATCTTTTTAACACAAGAAGGCAATAACGAGGAACAGAATGTCAAAAATTTCATGGTATTATATCTCCGACAAGAAACTTGTATGAGGAACAAATAAAGAACTCTCACAATTCAACTCACTTCCCTTGGTCCACGTGGCCTATAAATAAAATTTGGGCTCCTAAGTATTTGAAGAAGTGGTTCCCCAACTCCAGTGCACCAAAGAACAGGGCTACCAGATTTAGCAAGCAAAACATGGAACATCCAGTCAAATTTAAATCCCACATAAACAATGAGTAATTTCTTAGTGTAAGTAAGCCCATGCAATGTTTGGGACAAATTTAACTGAGTGTCCTATATTTTATATTTTAACTGAGTGGCAACCTTACCTAAGAATCAACCTTACCTAAGAATTTGAGGCTTCTTAGATGCAGATTCCCAGTCCTAGCCCTAGAGATCAGGATTCAGCAGCCTTGGGCTGGGACTCAAGAATCTGCTTAACCCTGGAGACTCTGACATGGGTGTCCAGGCCACATTTTGAGAAACTGATTAAATTCTCCAAAAGTCATAAGACACTTCACAATAGCTTCCAGCCACTCCTTAGAGCCATTCATATTCCAAACTTACATAAAACATGGAACTGCAGGTTTTGCAAAAATCGACGCCTTGAAATAAAGTGTCAAATAAAAGGGCAAAGGAAAATGAGATAATAAACAACAGCTAGAGCAAAACTCTTGAAGGAATTCAACCAAGTTCCCTTTGTGAATTTCCTGCCATATTCTTGGGAAACGTGATCAGCCCAGGCAGGCTCTGGCAAGATCTCACGCAACAGGATATACACATCATTGTGCATGTTCCCCCATTTATTCTCCTCCCCATTTACTCTCCTCAGGTGGCCCAGGTTTGGCGACTTTGGTCTAAATCAGGCTCTGAATGCAACTCTAAATGCATTCCTTCCAATATATTATAGGAAGCTGGAAACCACCACAACCATTGCGAAAACCCTCAGAGAGAGGGGGAAATCACTTCCATTGCAAGCCTTCAGCATAATGAAGACCAGAGTTCGCTGGATGGTGACTGGATTGCAGGCCTACTCTACCTGGTGAAATTAATTTAAATGCTGCTCTCATTCATAAAGCTTTTCCCAAAGTAGGCTACGTGTGGCGGTTAGAACAGTATGTATTCTAATGAATCTAGATTCCTCCCGCCGAGCACTAACCCTCTGTCAGAGAGGGCACCTTCCCACTCCAACCACAACTGCAATTCAAGAAAAAACCCAACCCACTTTCCATCCACAGCCTCGACAATCTTGACCTCAATCTCTTGCTCGTACAGGGTGCGTAACATCCGGTCCCGCCTGTCCTTTCTGCGCTTGAGGTTGATCATGAAAATCTAACACAGGGAGGAAAAAGGAAAAGAAACACAGATTATTCAAGTCTTCCTTTAGGCTGTTTGAAAAGTTAAGTAAATGTAAGGACCAAAGTTAGTTAGAAGAAGGAGTGGAAAAAAAAAAAGGAAAACCGTGGTGAAGATCTGTTTATATTTCATATCAAGTCAAATGATATTAATCCAAACAGAATGACTTTCAAAATTGAACCATCTGCAGTGACCTCACCCTCTCTTTGTTTCTCTGATGCTTGTTGGTGGACAGGTTTGCCCTGTTCTTGAGATAGGAAAGTTCACAAAGTTACTCTTGAGGAGGCCAAGTGTGAATTAAACCCCAAACAGAAGACTCAGAGGTAGGAGGCAGTCGGGCACGTGGTTAGACTTATTAGCACATAGCCCCAAGTCTATATCCTGACTGTTATTTACTAAGTATTTTCCTTGGCCCAGTTCCCATGCCTCAGTTTTCTCATCTGTGAAACTGGGATGATCCTGGTCCTATCTCATGGGTTCTCAATATTAGCTATTCTTAGATCTCATATCCATTGTAATAAATTTCAAGTCATTCAAAGAATGAGAAAAATCTAGTCTTAATACATTCCTTGCATTTCCAAAGGTTTCAAACAGAATTATCAAGGTCTTAATGTTGGGAGATTCTTTGCCAGAATTCTTCAACTCCCCTAGAGACAAGGGGATTTTTTGGAAAGAAGTAAAGAGAAGGGGCTCTACTATTAGAGGCAGCCCTTTGAGGGAATAGAGAAATGGAAAGGCATCATCTGCACATCAAACTCGTCCATGAAGTCTCCAAAAATATGCTTCCAGATTCCTTTCCCATGAGGGCTGGGTTCATCTGTAGCCCCTCATCTTAGCCCCTATGTACCTGATGGCTGCCTGAAATACATACGTATCATGAAACCACAGCAGGGAATTATGGGTAGTGAGATGGTCCTGACTATTCTCAGATTTAAGGAGCCATGGAAATACCTCAAGACTCATGAATGCTATTATAGGTAAACATGGGTATTTCCAAGGTCCTTTTGCTACAAACAATGACAAATTCACTCTGAACATTACACTAGGCCTCTAAGAGTAGGAGATTTTAGCTGCCAGCAAGAAATATTGATGACACGTAGTCTGTAGCATAGAAAAGGAGACCCTACAGGAATAAGTAGGATGGCATTGGCTTCATCCTGACTTAACTACTCAGATCACTTTGAGGAAGACATTGAATGCTTCACGGTCCAGTTCCCTCGTTTGTAAAAGGGAGAGTTGAACCACCTCACCTCACAAGAACAACACAGATTAAAATGCCAATGCTGTGTGGTTTAGACAAAGCTTGCTTTATGTCAAGCCCAGAATAAAGAAGAAACTAGGTCTTGTAACCAGCCTGGGTACTGGGGATGAAGCTTTGGTTCACTTATTCTGCGTATAACCATCAATATGTTCTATGTTTTACTGGATCAAAAGCTACACTAAAATTTCAACCCATCTTTCCAAAATATTCTCACTTCCATCCATTTATATAGCTCTGGGCTAAGAAACTGATGGGAGAACAAGATGTCCTCTTTAAAGAAATTATCCTCTGATTTAGGGCAAAGTGAATTCGGGGCATCATGATTTCATTACTTCTCTGATGACCTGAGTTGATTTCATTACTTCTCTTGATTACTTAACGGAGTATTTATTTTTAACGTAATTTCTGTGGTGACTCTACTTGCCTTGTAACTTGGGGCTTCATAACTTAATGGTTGTGTTCTTTTACATTTCATGTTTTTCCTGTTTAGGATCACAGTGCGATGGGCCATGTTTCATCCCACAATTTTAAAAGATACGGAAAGGAAAGGGCATTTCCTCCCGTGTGTGCATGGAGCAGCCCGAGGTCACTCCAGGAGAACAAAAACAAACCCGAACAAAAAAATGAACAGAAATACAACAAAAAGTCCCCTCAAACCAGAGTCCTCTAGCCTGGGAAGACTTTAGTAAATAATAATTCAGTCCCAGCTTTAGCCAGGACAAGCGCAGTAAAAATTGTAGCCATGAAGGAGAAACACAGACGGCTTGCTCATACTTAGTGGACAGCAAACAGAGAAAGAACCACAGAGCCAAATGCAGCCCAGACACCGCCACCAAGGTCATGGAGTACTCAAAGAATGAAAAAAGCACATGAAAATCCCCCCTATCCACCATCTTATCTCTGTTCTTAGACCCGCAGCACCTCCTAGAGTTGGCATTTTCCAAAGACTTCCAGTGGGGACCCAGTCCTTACAGCCCCGTCCAAATGGAAGACCAGAGCTAGAAGATCCTGGTTTTGTCCCACTTGATTTCCCTTGGCTTGCTCCTCTGAGGAATGTGTTTATTTAATTAATTTATTTGTTTTTAGAGGAATGTGTCTAAATAGAAAAATGAATCTATGTAAAGACACTTGGGTCCTTTCACCTGGAGAACGGAGGGCTGACGAGGGTTGCAGGGAAGGACAGCTCTAGTGAGATGTGAGAGCTGGTCCAGTGCGTGATGGTGGCCAAACCTCTCTGCAGCCCCGATTGTTTTAAAAAATTATTTGCACTTTATTCTAATTCCTCTCTCCCACATTAAAATCATCTCTTCTCATTCTACCCTCTGTGGAAACAGCATAATAGCTGCTAACTCTTTCCATTTAATATTCAGGAAATATTCTTTCCCATTCCTGAAGCCCAGATTCACGTTAATTTTATACAAGAATTACCAGTGCCCATCCCAGCAGCTTTTAGATGGCTGTACCTGGGGACATGTGTGATCCAGCAAAGAATGATAAACAAGGCTTTTTCTTTGACTGGAGCGATGGTGGGAGCGCACAGCACAAAGCCTGGCCTATACCATACCCAGAATCCACGGAAAAACTCTGTCTCAGTTTGTGGATCACCAAAGGCTTGAATACTGATCTGCAGCTACATGACCGAAGGGACCCACAAAGGATTCAGTGACTTGGGAGTCACACTTTGTGCACTCCCAAGTAGCTGTAGTATGTGTTACCAAGAGAGGTATCTCTTTATACTCCTGCTTCCTTCTTCATGCAATCAAAACTGTACAATAAATATGGCCCTTGGCGTGTTATGAAGTTCTTGCCCACTGAAAGGCGGAATTTCACAACAAATTTCTTTTTTTCTCTTTTTCCTTTCCCTCTCAGTCCTGCCTTCAACCTTTTTCCATGGAAGAACAGCACAGAGAAAATAAAACACAGACTGTGCCAGAATGGTTTCTATGCACTCAGAATAAAGTTAAGGTCCTCAAATACTTAAAACATTATCCTCTTTACCCTTGAATCTTGATAGAAAGGTTCACAAAATATAGCGGTATCTGTTCCTAGAAAATATAAAATTTGCTCTTGATTAAATAGTAACTTCTTTCCAACCCAATGACTAATTCATTTTCACCACGATGCTCCTTTTTTTAAAAAATTTTTTTGCTTGAGTATCGCTGACACACAATATTACATTAGTTTCAGGTGCATGTGATTCTCTTTTTTCATCTTTTATCTTTATTTGTTTATTTTTTTATTTTAAGTAGGCTCTGCACCCAGCGTGAACCTTGAACTCATGACTCTTGAGTCCAAGAGTTGCATTCTACACTGACTGACCTGGCCAGGCACCCCAAATCCTCCTTTTTTAAGATGAGAAAGCTGAGACACGATACAAATTGAGTGGTTTTCCCCAGACCTTGGTGCCTTTTCAGCCACCAAGCCAGTTTCACTGGCTCTCAGATGTAGGATCTGGCTTGCCCTCCAATATGAACATGTAAGCATGCCACATACATGCACATGCGTGAACATGCACACACAGACACCTTTCCTACCTCATCGAATCCCATCTTGTCTGGATATTTAGGGACAACTGAAACAAACTGGGAGGGTTCCATTGGAGGACCGTCAACTGGAAGACACAAGAAACACACAGAGCATTTTGTTAGTGAAAGGCTCAGGGAAGAGGATTCCATCCACACACCTGGTGTCCGGGAACACAGTCTGGATGTCCGGGCTGGGGATAACTGCCCGGCAGTTCTCCAGGACTGAGTGGCTACACAAGAACCCTGATGGCCAGGATTTCCAGAATGCTTGTTCATATGCAGACTGCAATATTCACTCCATTTCCCTTAAGACTTATTTTCAGAGGAGATGAGAGTCAGTCTATGGTAATGGTTAAGAGTGAAGCCTCTGGAGTCAGATGATCTGGGTCCAAACTTTGCTCTGTGAAGATCTAGAAGAGTTAAGTGACCTCTCTGAGCTTGTCTCCTCATGTGTAAAATCAGGATAATAAAAGTATATCTCTCGTATGGGCCATGGTAAGCGCTGTGAAGTGTGTAAACCTGGCAATTCACAGACCTGTGCCCTTGGGGCTAATAATACATTATATTTTAATAAAAAATTTTTTAAAAAGTATATCTCTTAGGGTGTTGTGAAATTTAAGTGAGACCTGCACGCAAAGCACTCACCACAGTAAATGGACACAGGAAAAATTCAGTAACTTTTCAGCTGTTACTTAATGTGGCTCATAATGAAAGACCTCAAAAGTAGGCCAGACTTCTTCTAAATAATGCTTTCTCTGTATATTTTAAAGGGGACTTGTCTGGGACTATTTTTATCCCATTCAGGCAGGTTTAGCTACAGGTATGCAAAAGGTCCTTTATTTTAACGGGAACTTGCCTTTGAGGGCCAGCCCACAACCCAAAACTTGGTACAGGGCTAACAGGTAAATTTCCAGGTAAGGGTATACTGCATCTTAAGTAATAAAAGATTTACTTATTTCATACTCCAAAAAAAGTTTTCTTTACAAACTATACATTTGAAAGTTCGGAGGCCCTGTTGAGTGGGGAGTCTGGAAAGGTCTTGAGGATTTTTGGAATTGCAAATCCAAAGTACTCCTTTGGTTTTCCTTAAAGGGGTAATACAAAGAAAACACAGTGAGAGCTGGTCACTTGGGTGGCTTGAGGAACTGCTGGTGGTGGCCATCACTACTGTTCAGCAGTCACCATCTCCTCCACTCCAGGCAGAAGAGAAGAATCACTTCCTCACACTTGAAGTTGGTCATGGGCTCATGAATCTCTACTTCTCAGCTCTCCAAGCCCTCCTTCCACCCTGCCCCAGCCCACCACAATGGTCACAGTAGCAGATGTTGATAAAGGAGAAGCCACACACATTTGAAGCAGCCTAGAATCATGTGCCAGCATCTGGAGGACAGGTGCCCAGAAGGACGCGAGGACCACTGCGGGCTTTGCATTGCAAGAAATAGGCCCTTGCTAGGAAGCCAATGAGATTTTTGTCACTATTTGATATCCCAGTGTAACCTCTTCATCCTTTTGACTGAGATACTGTCCAAAGAGTATTATTTGTTTAATGTATCCTTCCCTGGGATATTAAAGAGAAACCACGACATCCAGTTTCACTTATCATCAGATGATGTGAAGTTCTAAAAGGTAGTGAGACGGGTTTCCTAAGTCCAACACAAGAACTGGTCTAATTCCTTCAAGTTTGACCCCTATGGTCACATTTTTGTGAATACACAGTGCCTGTGTTTCTGTTTCCATTAGAAGCTCAGAATATTTTGTTCCTTTCTGCTCCACCCCACTCCTCATTAATTTTTTTTAAATCAACAAATATTGTTGGAGGGGCCACCATGTACAGAGTTAGGCTTTTGAGAGAAAGGAACTTAGCATACAAACTCCTTCTTGTTCATAATGTTGTTGGAGGAGCTGCCTGGCTCTCCCTCCTTGAGTCTTGCAGTTGGGAGGGGGTTACATTTTGAGTTCCCCTTTTCACGCTGTTGGTCTGTTTGGCACTCACATGGCCTGCGTGGCTTTAACAATTCAGCCAAAGAGACTGCTTTTAGCCACTTTGCTTCCATCAAACATGGGCAGTCATTGCAATCACAGGACAAGTGTCCCTCACAAGCCACAAGTGGTTGGCTTCTGAAAGCCACCATTGAACAAAAATATGAGAAATATGTCTGGGTTTTGTCCCCAGAGACTAAGCAAAGCCACGGGGAAAGACAGGGAACGATAAAGTTAGAACTAAGAAATTAACTGTGCAAGGAGAAGGGATGTGTCTTTGCCTCATCAGAGTTGAAGGTTAGGTATATCCCAGCTTTGGTTTGGGGTCATTTCTGACTCCATCATTCATAATTTGAATCCCTCTCTAGACATAGCCCCTCACTGTGCCACACCAACTGAGACAATGTGCTTCACTGGCTCCTGGATAGTTTCAAGACCTAAGAATAATAATCACAGTCATTATGATAGAGATCTTATTATCTACTGAACTCTGGGTTACACTCTTGACATATATAGTCACAGTTATTTAATTTTCACATGTCCCTATTTTTACAGATAAGGAAATAAAGGCTTCAACAACTTGCCCAAGGTCACAGAGCTGATAGAGCTGGTATTTGAACCTAAGTCTGCCTCCTAAACCCTTTACCCCCACTCGGCCTGCCCCCAAAGCTGGTCCTTGGTAGTCACTGGCATCAAGCTGGATTGGCAAGTGGGCTGAATTCATAGCTCATTTAGCCAAGTCTTTCTTCTGGGTGACCATTTTTTCTGTAGTCTACACTGGACACACACCATCCAGCAGCATACAATGCACCAGCCCAGTCATACCCCCCCATCAAAATATTTGAGAGATTATGTTTGTACCAAATCCTAACTAAATCATAATCATTTAATCATAAACCTAAAGTTGTTCTGAACTTCTTCGATTGCTGTAGTCACCACCCTAGCTCAGATTCTCGCTCACCATGATTGGGCTATTTTTTAAAATTTAATTAATTAATTTACTTCTTTTAGAGATGGAGAGAGCATGAGCTGCTGGGGATGGACAGAGGGAGAGGGAGAGAGAATCTTAAGTAGGCTCTGCATTCAGCATGGAGCCCAACACTAGGCTGGATCTCATGACCTTGAGATCACGACCTGAGCCAAAATCAAGAGTCAGACACTTAACCGACTGAGCCACCCAAGCGTCCCCATGCTTGGGCTGTTTTAATATTTTCAAACTCTCATGCACTTAGTCTTGCCTCGTCCTAACTCATTATGCACACTATTGTCAAAATAGTCTTCTTCAAGCACGATGCTGTTCTCAACAACAACGGTCACACTCAACACTTTGCAATTTGTTAAGTGCTTTCATATTCATGACATCATTTATCCTCGTTTATCTTTTGGTTGTTTTTATAGATGAAGAAATTGAGACCCACCCAGATGAGGACTTGCCCAAGGTCAAATAGGGAGTAACCGGTGCCAAGATCCAATAGTGAGCAATTGGTAAGATCACTGGACCGTCCAACTTCATGTCCAATAATCTTAGTATTCTTTACATGACATTCTGTGGCTTCAGAATGTTGTTACTGAGAATGGGCACCTGAGATCTCCCATCAGCTCATGCTCTGACTCGCAAGACCAATCCCCACATGCCTCATATAACCCTTTGACTTCTTTCACCTTTATAAGAAGTAGCCTCCAATTTTCTGTGCAGGAAGCACATTCCCAAATTTTCTATATGGCTCCTAACATACAAAGTGAGTGAGTATGGGTAGAGCAATGGACAGAGTGCTTCCTGTGAGCCTTAGCAGGTGCTACACCCCAGCTCCCAGCCCACCCCAGCTCCTCACTCTGCTCTCTGAAACTCCAGTCTGTAGTTCATCAACTCTTTGACGTTTCAGTCCCTTACTTTCTCTGAATGTCTCTTCACCTTTTTATTTTAACTAAAACTTGGTTTCCTTTGGAGGACACTGCTTCCCTTTCACCCATCAGAGTAGAAGCTGATTTTTCTTATCTCCCCCAATTCCCCGCCGCAAACTATTTCCCTTTCATCCCTCAAAACTCCCAGTTTCTTGAAGTGTGTATTAGCCCCCTCTGCCCCGTGGTCATGCCTCTTCAGCCACTAATAATGACAGCCTTGGGCTCACAGTCTTGCTGTCCTTACCATCATTCTTTTTTTTTTTTTTTTAAGATTTTATTTATTTATTTGACAGACAGAGATCACAAGTAGGCAGAGAGGCAGGCAGAAAGAGAGGAGGAAGCAGGCTTTCCGCGGAGCAGAGAGCCCGATGCGGGGCTTGATCCCAGGACTCTGGGATCATGACCTGAGCCGAAGGCAGAGGCTTTAACCCACTGAGCCACCCAGGCGCCCCCTGTCCCTACCATCATTCTTAAAAAACTTCAGCATCCATGTGGTGATCCACCGGAAGACTGGGATTCTAGTTCCTGCACCAACAATCATTCTTTCAGTGACCCACTACCATGTCCCCATCACCTCTTCATGTCCTCAGGTCCATCGGTATCCAACCTAGATTTCTTGGGCTGGCACTCTAACCCCCAACTCCCTCAGAAAGACTCTTGATTTGCTTCCCTGGATCTTACTTGGTAAAATCCCAGGCCTGCTTGAACTTGATTATCCACTTACTCAATCCCAAGAACACTGCAAGAAAAATTCACACAGTTGTGTTGACTGAATCACTTTAAAATTACAACCACAGATGTCACACTGGCACTCGACACTGCCAAATGATGCAACTATGCTTCCATAGTAAATTTACTTTCCCACTCTCCGAGCGATCTGTTTTATGCCTTGTCCTCTCTCCCGACACCTCCAGCATCTCTCTCGAGCTGATGAACTATGTACCTCATAAAGAAAATACTCAAAGTAGACCTATCTCTTCCTTCCACCTCAAGCCCACAAAACCAGCTGCATCTGTACCTACACATTCTGCCTTCCCATCTGCTAGTGTGCAAGAAGCATCTCTGTTCCCACCTTGGACAACGTCTCCAATTCCGTCCTAGATTACAACGCCTCTTGTTTTCTCAAGGACTTCAGCCTTACAACTGCCTTCTTCTCTTCTACATCACCCAGTTCTCCTTATATATTGGATCCTTCTTGTTCATA